AAGTGATGTCTCTCTTCTCCCCTCATAGCATGACAGAGAAGGAAGTGCCAGAGCCACCAGCTTCACCTGCTTCAGGTGGGAAACCCAAGAGCCGGGTAAGTGGGTGCCCACAGGGCAGCTTGGGTGGGTGGGGGCAGCCACCTTTCTAGCATCGTCTCGGCCTCAGCCCCAGGAATCTTCGTGGGGCCAGGGATGCCTGGCGGGATCCTGATCCAGCAGGCACTGGGTGGCCATTTCATAGCTGGGCTTTTCCCCAGGCTGCCCACATCCCACATGGTGCTCGGGAGTCACAGTTTCTCTTTCTGTGGGGACCTCACGGGGCCGGGAGAAGGGTCCCTGTCCGCACAGCATGTCTGCCCCAGGACGCCTGGGGTCTCCTCCCACTTGGGGAAGAAGGAGTCTCTAGGTCAGAGCAAAGGGGCAGGGAGCCAGGCACCGGCTTCTCTGCCTGCCTGTCTGCCTCACCCCCCAGCCTGCCGTGTGCGATGCATCTTCTCCTGCCCCAGCAGCTACAGAAGCTGAAGCAACTTTTCCAGCGAAAGCCCAAGGAGGAGACGGCGCCAGAGCCACAGCCCAATGGGGAGCTGGTCAGCCCCTCAGGAGGACCCATCTGCTACGTCTATGAGGAGGAGGAAGAGGAGGAAGAAGAGGAGGAGCCTGAGCCCCCTCCCGAGCCCCAGAAACTTGTCAATGACAAACCCCACAAGTTCAAAGATCATTACTTCAAAAAGCCCAAGTTCTGTGATGTTTGTGCCCGCATGATTGTCCGTGAGTCCTGAGGGTGCTGGGGCTGGGGGCCATGGTCAGGGCGAGGGCTGGGGGCCAAGGCTGGCGAGGGCTCCAGCCCAGCCGTCCCCACAGCTGCAGTGTCACATTGCCTCTCCTTTCCACCCCTCCGCCCCCACCACCGCCAGTCAACAACAAATTTGGCTTGAGGTGCAAGAACTGCAAAACCAACATCCACCACCACTGCCAGTCCTACGTGGAGATGCAGCGCTGCTTTGGCAAAATCGTGAGTGTTCCCACTGGCCCCGGGCCTGGGACCCCCTCCCAGGGAAAACCGAAGCACCGCAGCAGGGAGCGGCCAGCTCAGTCCCTGTGGGCGTGACCCAGGCGCCATCACCCACCTCTCTTCCTGGCTCTGGGGGAGACCCAGGCATCACCTCCCTGCTGGGTGGTCACCCTCTGGGTCCCCAGCATCCACCCACCCCCCCCTCAGCTCTCGCAGGAGGGCCCGCAGGTCTGGGTGGTGGTAGGTGCTCTGACGCCGTGCGTACAGCTCACCCCTCTACAGTGACCAGCAATACGCCTGCGTCAAGGAGCTGCTCTGTAAGTACCGTCCCCAGGCCGGGGTGCCCCATCCCCTCGCGTCCTGTAGCTGAACCCCTCTCGCCATCCCTGTGCCCCAGCGGCAGCCAACAGGAGCGACCCCGTGTTCGAGACCCTGCGGACGGGTGTCATTATGGCCAACAAGGAGCGCAAGAAAGGGCAGGATGACAAGAAAAACGTGAGTGCGGGGCTGGCCTGTCACTCCAAATGCCCAAGGGTCCCGGCACCACAGCCTGCACCCCATTGCCACCCCCACCTCCCTGCCCGCTCTGCACCCCCTGACAGCAATCTGCCTTGCAGCCTTTGGCTGCGATGATGGATGAGGAACCAGAGGCCACGAAGCGAGAAGAGCGCAAAACCGAGGGCGGTGAGTGCTGCGACTGCGGCAGGCCTGGCTGCACGCGAGGGCCGAGGACCTG